AATCTACAAAGAGAGAAGGGTGAGCAAGGCTTATAAGTAGGGGCGAACCCTACGCCACTACGCCAGCGCAGACGGAGTAGATCGAAGAGGAATGGACAGGCGAAGGCGAAGGTTATGAAGAAGTACAGTCACCGCTATGCTGGTTGAACGTTGAACGTTGACATTGAGGCGTAAGTCTCGTCCTCAACGCCGTGTTTCAATTCTGGTCGCTGTTTGAGGTCGACTTCTCCACCCTGAGGCTCGGATCATGGCGGTCGTTAGGAAGAAATGTCGCACTTATGATACCGAAACGCAGGAACTGGATTCTCCCGCAACGACAGTAGTCTGGACGACCTGGTTGTGTCCTATCGTCACGGAGACGTTGAAGGGTGGCCGGACGCGGCTCAGAGGAGCAAACCCCACGACTACTTCGAGGACTACACCGACGCGGACGCTGGAGAAGAAGAGAAGGAGGAGGTCGAGATGGAACGTGCAGGCGAAAGCGAAGGCTGCAAAGAAGCGGGTTCATAGATCTTTCCTACCCGTTTTATCTTGCTCACTCTTCTAGATTATTAGGCGGACGGTATCATCTTGTCGTTTCCTATCCTTTATAATATGGAACGGTCAGCACATTCATTAATTCTTCCCGGCCTTTGTCGGGCTCCTCCAATCATCATTACGAGCTAGGCGTCCCAATACAATGACTTGCTGCCGGCCTGGTTTTAAAATGATCCGAGTACCAACACAAGTTAATACGAGAACAACTAAGCACGAGCCTGGACCACCTAGTAGCATACACGACCTTGTTCTGCTCTCGCTGGTGCGCAGTGTAGGCCAGCCAGATGAGGAATGATTAAAGATATTCGGAGAGGCCGTGCAAACAATAAGCTCCGATATAAAGTATGGCAAATAAGGCCCCTCGTCTTCCGAGTAACCACCGCCGCTAACAAGCTATCTATCGCAAAATGACTCTAAGTGCGCAACTTGATCATAGCCGTATTTATTAGTTTGTCTTGAAAGACTGACTGGAACGTCGATTTCGTGCTGCCAAGCAGTCGTTTCAATACAGACTACCGCTCCAATATTCCATCCGGGTGGAGCTGCGACTGGGAGTATTTCGATGGTTGCCATCGCCTATCTCCTTGCGTCGATGGGCGTATCATTTTGAATCCCACGCTGGAAGGATTATATAGCGTTCATGGCGAACTCTTCTTCGTCATGTACAAGATTGAGTCTCCTATGGCCATCATCAGGACCAGCCGGGACGACACCCAATACTATATATTCAACGTCGATACATGCGATCTCTTCAGATTCACTAATACTTATCCCACACTGCAACACTTCATGGAAAAGGCCGAATGCTGGACTGGAGGAGACGGCCGGCTCAATTCAGTGACCCCATTTGAGCCTATGGATTTCGAACTGGGCACAAAAGAAGTCCCGGAGTTGATAGGGGAATGGAACACAGCGTTTCGTGCCGCGGTCCTGAAGGGACTTAGGCCATCATTGTAGGAAACATACATTTATGATACTACCATTGCAACTATGAAATTTTGTGGTGTAGTGCTGATAATAGGTTCGGCAGGACGTACTCTTATTATTGTTGCCAAGGTTCATAGTTTGAATGAGCGCCGTTCATGAAAGTAACATTTAAAATGCCTGAACCCATCGCGACTATTCTTTTGTAACAGATAAATGACGTCCGAAACTCATCCTCGTTGACAGTTTATGGTTTGAAACATCCCATGATTTTCTGAGTGCTGTCTGAATGCCCTAGGAATCAAGTTTTATTCGAATCCAAAAGCATCGAGGCTTGTGCAACAGCTTGTGTGACTCCGCCTTAGTTGCTCGGTCGTGAGCTCAGCTTGCGGAATAAGTATAGGGTTGTGTTAGGTTTCATATGGTGCAAGGACCAACTCTCCTGACTTGGTGAGCACTGGAGGGCTGTTCCAGCTTTGCAAGCCTTGGGGGAATATATGACAAACCTGTGGGCATGTCATTTAGCGTGACAGCACCCGACAGCCAAAGATTCACCTGTTTCCATAGATTGTCCTCTGCCATAGTACTGTACTATTACGACCGTACCTTCACGTTGTTACGCCATTAACAAGGACCAAGAATCGTCTTTGTCAAGGGTCTGTGACCTGTGACCGACAAATCGATCATGGAAATTGTACAGTACCCCGATTTACATATATTTTACAGTCTCCCTGTGTATACCAAACGTACCTATGGCAGTCTTCGTATTCAACGCAACAAAGATCGATTCTGGATGTCCAACCGTGAGAAAGAATCAGGGACCTGCCAGGTGCTCACCGTCGCTACCTGACATCACGATTGATGCCATGTTACTCTTCACGCCAACGCTACACATCGTACTAGATGCGGTTGGAAACAATTAGGCATAGAGCGAATCATAATCGACGAATGGGTGACAGTTCAAGGCTCATACTAGGCTAGTTACGTTATTCCATCGTAAAGAGCCCACACCAGATTAAATTGGTGGTCGAAGATACCAGAAACCATCGCAATCGCACGCTTGCTTCTTTGGGCATCAATGTCCCAAGACAGTATTTCATTCTACGAGTCAGCGAAACATTTTAGATATCATGGGAAACTGCAGACTCACCTCATCATAGGGACGTCTCAGCACAATGTTCCCAATCCTGGGTGTTCTTCCCTGCGGACTCTTTGGCCAAAATACCAACTCCTTGAAGTAGCTGACAATTAGGCCAGGTAATCTGTAACTGCTGTTTACGAGCTCTTGCAATGTCATATCTGGAGAGATATATCTGACGTATTCCAGGTATTTTCGTGGGGAGCACCATAAGAACCAGCTTGAAACCAGAACCAGTAGTAATGGGGACATTCTTGTCAGTCGCTTCATTACTGCTTGATGTACCTTTATTCGACACAGCAGCAAAAACAAAATGACAAGATGATATCAACCACCGAATAAGTCTGCAAGGAGAGAAGAGTGAGCAAGGTAAAACGGGAAGAAAGAGTCTACGTACTTTCTCAGGCTACTTCTTCGCAGCCTTCGCTTTCGCCTGCGCGTTCCTCTTCGACCTCCTCCTTCTCTTCTTCTTCTCCAGCGTCGGTGTCGGTGTAGTCCTTGCAGTGGCCGTGGGATTTGCTCCTCTAAGCCTCGTCCCGCCGCCCTTCAACGTCTCCGTGACGATAGGACTCGCTGCCGGCCTGAACTTAAACTGGTCCGAGTACCTGCACAAGTCAATACGAGAACAACTAAGCACGGACCTGGGCACACCTAGTAGCATACACGACCTTGCTCTTCCTCGCTAAGTGTCGCTGGCGCGCAGAGTAGGCCAGCCAGAAGAGGAATCCGACAAAGATGAGGAAGGCGACTCGTTTGAATAAAGAGGAACGGGGCGGTGACGGTGAGATCTCCTCGTCCTCGTCCTCCTCGTTCTTTGATCCTGGTCGCTGTTTAAGGTCGCGTTCTCGACCTTGAGAGTCGGACATGATGATGGTGGTTGAATTGAAGGGGCAGGGTCGACAGGAAATATCGTGATCGGCAGTACCCGATGCCGCCGTGCCGGGCGATCGAAAGTAAGACTCAACCATTACGAAGATATTAGTTCGTAGTTTTTTTTGTCTATTTCCTCGCCACTACTTGGCACTTAGCGCTTGACTATCATCGCCGCAATGAATGTGAGTTTGTAACCTGAGTTGCTCTGCCAACCCATTGATTGTTGACTGCTTCATCGCCAAAAGTTGATTAAACGTTAAGTATAGATTCATGCTCCCAGGCTACATGTCCGATATACTGGATTGGCGTGGTATTACTTGCCTCACGAGACCCGAAGACCCCGATTGATGGATATCAGTTCTAGCCATCGCCTCCGGGTCCGAAGGCTGTGTTTCGATGTATAGGCTACACACAAGTCTCCACGAAGCTCTCAACCTTTAGCTACCATGATCGCCCGCCGTGCACGTCGAAGAGTCCAGGAAGAAGTAGCCGTCCCTCCCCAGAAACTCATGCAGGAAAAATCACCGGCAGAATGCAACCCCCAAGCAGCTTCACCGCTGTTCTCCGCTATTCCCCCCGAGATTCGTAACATCATCTTCCAGCTCGCTCTACGCAGCCGCCCCGACGAATCCAGGCCATACCCTGGCAACGCCTACCACTTCCGTCCAGGATACGAATATGATCAGCGCATAGACACGGCGCTTCTCCTCACTTGTCGTCTCATTTACAACGAGAATCGTCTCCTGCCCGTCATCAACAACGAGCATGTCTTTTGGTGTAACCGCGGTCCGCCTGGGTCGAGCAGCCAGCCAGCCAGATACTTCCGTAAGATGACGGAGGAGCAGCAGGATGCCGTTGACTATGTGCACTTCTTCGCGCAACAGTATTGGCTCGAACAGACCTTCCCGGAGGTCTGCTTGATCGCCAAAATGCGTCCGAGGAAGTTGAAGATAACGATCAGACACTCGGATTGGTGGTACTGGGAGCACAATCAGCTGTTGGTGCTAAAGGACGGTTGGACGAATAAGATGTCACTGTTGAAGCGCCTCGAAGAATTCGAGATCGAGCTAGAGACGTTTGAGAGGGACAAGGACCAGGTTTGCATTCGATTGAGTGTATGCTTCCCGTTTGACTCATTGTCGTGTCCGCCCAGATGCTTGCTATAGTGCAGAGAATACGTAACTGGAGGATCGATCTCTGCGACGGGCGCACACTGAGCACTGAGGGATGTCCCCCTGTTCATGACAAGTGGATGGGAACGTCCGTTTTCGAAGGAAATCTTGGGTATGATAGGGAAAGGAATATTTGGGTCCATAGACCCGGGATTGCAGGCCCCGCTGCCCCTTTAGTCTACCATACGGTAACACTCAAGTGGACTGCCGTATAAGGACAATTGTATAGTTGTTGTATAGTGCTCACTGAGATAGACAGCATAATTACCGTGAGATGGAAGCTTGAGATGGCGCCAATTGTTCCCTTCAATTAAATAGAGATTAATAGAGACGTAGGAAATCCAAATCGAATTGTTGGCGCTATGGTGTAGTGGTAGCACATGGGATTCTGATGTGATGGGGAATTTCCACAACCCAGGTTCGAACCCTGGTAGTGCGCTTGGGTGAGTTTTTTTGCACGTCGCGTCCACGTCTCCTGAGTTCAAACGTTTGCAAGGATGACTTGATAGACGGATGGCAGGACGAGGGCGGTTCAGGGACCAAGGCGAACCTTGAATAATCTCCAGGTTATGACACGTCCCCTGGTTTCCATGATGGCGAGGATAAGTGGCCCATCATATACATAGGGACCTGCTTCTGTATCTTATCGAGCCATTGACGACGTTCCAGAAGAACTCTGTTTGCTTTAAATCCGAGCTATATTATGGCCGACTTCACGGCTAGTACCCTGTTCCCTGATTTAATACCACCTTCACATGGGGAGTCGAGCTGCTTTCCAGTCGCCCTTAGCTAAGACTCCTGATGCCACTTTTAACGGTATGTTTTCTGCGAGTTCATAGACCCTGAAGGCCTGAAGGCCTGACTGATCGAGCGCCACTAGATATTTGAGAGGCCATGGTCGGCATGCGACGAACTTGAGCGCTTGAGCATCCATCTTTCCGCCATGCTCCTGACCCCGCAGAACCCTCTCTGGCATCCCTTGCAATCGATATCAAGCGCGAAATGGCCAACCTGCCGGACTTTGACATGTCCTTGTCATTGTCATTCTATTACAAATATTTCCTAGTATCCGTCAAACGATTCCACAAATCTCTTCACAAAGTTGTACACCGACGGAGTTCCAGCTGCACGGAGAAAATTGAACAAGAAAATACGGTTCTGGTCGTCAAGTTTGTCAAGCACTCCAGAGAAAGGTACAAGGCGTTGCTCAAGTATCTGAATCGTCACCGTATAGCTATCGCTGACAGCCGGAGCACCACCCCTCGTCTTTTTGTCGTCTGACTCGTCTTCTCTATTTTGGTCAAGATTCAAGATTCAAGGATCAAGGATCGACTCGAGTGACGAGTGACGAGTGATGAGTCTCAAGAATCCTTTATCACCTACAATGCCTAGGCCTTAACGCACAGTTTCTAATGTTTTGAACGCATTATCAACGTTAACTGCTTCACGTTTTGCATCACTCCAGAGTAGCTGCTTGCGCTCAGTGCCCAGGTGGCAGTCTCCACTACCCACTGCCCATAGCTTGGTAAAACTTGACGCTAGCAAGCGGCAGATGCCGATTGCATTTTGATTGCATACCACTCAAATACCGGCTAATCCTTCGCCTTTTCCCTGCTATATCCTGCGCTGAAAGAAGAAGTGAAATCGAACAAACTACCGTCCTTTGGCCGTCCTAGGTACCGACGGAAAATACGCCTGTCTAAGATCCCCTCTCGATGGCGCGACCTGTTGTTTCAGCAGGTCTAGGATTTGTCTCCAAGATTTAACGGAGCCCTTCTTCTGTCTTCTCACTGGTATCATGGAGCCCTATCCCACCGAGCTCAAGATATCTATCCCTCACTGATGCTCACCCAGGTCACGGATATCCACTTTGGTATCCAAGACCACCGTCGAATTTCCCTCCTGATTATTTCCGCCGTGGCACTCAAATCGGAGAGCTCAGTGGATATCTTGACGCGGGTGGGGGATTTATCTATCTCTTCAATGTGTACAAGGATGCCGAGGATCCCGTCAATCTAAAAAGGGTTACACCGGGTTTTGTGCCGCTCAAGTCTGCTCCTGATGTACGAGAGGAGTTGGATTTTCATGAGAAGAACTTGGTGTTTGCTATGTCCGGCGTAGAACAGAGATCTGCTGGGGTATTGTGCGAATCCTTCCCCTTCACCTTTAAGGGACCTTTCTGACCAGGCGGTAGTTCCAAATCCACGAGTTCAAGTACACGGGGCGTTGTCCTTATCCTTCCAGATGGTGCCGATCGCTATGATTCCGAAAATCCTGGCTTGCTTGGGGAACATGCAGCTGCCAATGCTCACAGTTGGTACGAATATCTCAATGGCAAAGGCATGGATATCTGCAATGGTACGCTGTACCTCGTCACTGGATGCGACAAGTCTCGTTCTTGGGCTACCCAGTGCTACGTGCGGACGAGCAGGCCGTCAAAGTTCACTCTCGGCGGAGTGTTTCGGCCCAGAGAGAGTCTACTCAGGACTTCTGCTGGCACTGAACGGAGTCACAAGCGCGACATGACCCCAGGGGCGGTGGCAAACCAGACTGTCTTCTTACGCGGATACTCGATCTCTGTTCGTACTCGACCAGCGTTGCGTGTGTTGGGTATCAAGAAGGACGCGACAGTCATGCGGATACTAGCTCTCTTGAGAACCGCGCGGGTAGACTTTTTCTTTTTCTTCACGACAGTCCGTCATGTTAAAATCCGATCGCAGGATGAGATTCCTTACAGAAACAGAAGTGAGCCTGGGGTTCGGCTGTTTCCAGAGGTCAGGCCAGCAGTGTCAGTAAATAATTATATACTGGATAGTGTAAGCCAGTAAGTACTTCGTAAAGGCGTACTCCATCTTACCCCAACTCCCTAGTACTATGGTGCCACCGTTGCGCTCACGCATGATCACTACATGGGCATTATAAATAAAGTCCGTCTTCGTATCTATGGAAAACTTTCCACTCTTATGAATTACCGTCGCTAGGTTCAAACCCCACTGAAGGCGGTGGAGCTTATGGACGATTTTATCTCCGATGATGGCCTAGTCTTTATCGCCAGAAGTAAGCTGCTAATGTCTAACTCTGCTTGCGTCTCAACTGTGTTCGTCAGGCTCTGGAACGGGTGGTGCGTGGATAGCAAACCAAGGGTTTTCAGACATACTCGGATATCAACGCCGGGCACTTGATTCAACGGATGCGGAAACACTTCAAAAACTAACGGGTGCGTTTCATGCACCGTCGTTTCCGAGAATCATGCTGACCGGTTTAGGTTGTGCGCCTGAAGATTCCAAGAATATAATAGGACTGCGACCGCGTCCACCTTTTCGAACTCGATTGACGCGATGGTACTCCGGGATGGTGGGGAAAAAGAAGATGACAATAATCAGGAAAGGGGTTTACACCTAGTTGGGCCAGCTGGCTTTATTCTATCCTCGCTGAGTCCGCCTCTGCTGAATGTCCCGCTGACACAGGTTATTTCGCTCAGCCTAATGTCTTTCTTGATTCTAATAGATGTCAATATTGATTCACAATTTGATTTTCGACTCAGGCAATTAGATAACGCAACTTGAAGCTCGATGTACCAATGGCGAACTCAGGCTCCAACAGTCATACGGGCTACGACGAACCCATCCATCCTCGTGAACCCATAGTGATAGTGATATCAAGATTTTCACTCAAGCTTTTGGAGCTTGTGCGTGCCGACGGACTGCTCAGCGGGAGATAGATAATGGATTCATAATATTTCGTATGGCATGGTACAACGATCAATCAACAATAACCACTGATCGGAACTTCCTCACTCATTCCCGGTACCCTCCTCTCTTCTGCTCATGACATCTGACTGACATGCTCCTGAACGCGAAAGTACGGCGGTCCACTTGAGAGTCATCGTATGATAGACCAACGGAGCGACAGGGCGGACAACCCCAGGTCTATTGGTCCAAGCGTTCTTTTCCCCGTCGTACCTGACACGATTTCCTTCAAAAACAGATGTTCCCGTCCAGTGATCATGAATGACTGGACGACCCTCGGTACTCAGCACACGTCCATCCCAAAGATCGATCTTCCAGCTGTGAATTCTCTGAGCTATAGCAAACATCTGGACCACGGCAATGAGTGAACTCATCGTAAGATATATCGTTCGATGCAAACCTGGTCTTTGTCCCTCTCAATCGTCTCCAGCTCGATCTCAAATTCCTCCAGGCGCTTGAACAACCTAATCTTATTCGTCCACCCATCCTTCAGAACCAACAAGTGATGATTCTCCCAGTACCACCAATCCGAGTGCCTGATCGTGATCTTCAGCTTTCTCGGACGCATTTCGGGGATTGCGCAAGTTAATGGGAAGGTCTCCTCGAGCCAAAACTGTTGCGCGAAGAAGTGCACATAATTGACCGCATTCCGCTGCTTCTCTGCCATCTTATGGAAGTACCTGGCGGGCTCCGCGCTCGACCCCGGTGGACCGCGATAACACCAAAACACGTGCTCATTCTCGATAACAGGCAGGAGTTGTGTTTCGTCATAGATGCGACGACAGGTGAGAAGGAGCGCAGTGTCTATGCGCTGGTAGTGGTCATATCCCGGGCGGAAGTAGTAGGTATTTCCGGGATAATATCCCCTAGCTTTATCAGGATAGCTACGTAGAGCAAGCCGAAAAATGATGTTACGGATTTCTGGGGGAATGTTGGAGAACAGGGGTGAAGCTGCTTGAGGGTCTGCTGCTACTCGTACTTGGTGGAGTAAACAAGGCATGGCAGCAAAAGGTCAAGAGGGACATGGAGCAGGCGCTTATATACTGGGTCCGGAGGCAAGTGACTAACCCCGCAGCCATAAGATTTGAGAAGCTGTTAATTGTACGCGAGCTTCGGGCGTTATGATAGGTGGTGCCCTGTGGTGCCACTTTGTTCGGTATACGTAAAATGCATCGAAACAAATGCATACGTATGGTGGCCGCCGAACTATACGCAAAACACAGGTCAGGGGTCTCAACTGCAAAAAAAATATCACAATCCAACCTACCGAACTTCTTGCAATTCTTCGAGGTTAAATTTTGATCTCTCAGAGTTTCCCAGACCTGAACCCTAAAACATGTTCTCCGGTTTCTTCTCATTCAATCCAGTTTGTTCTGCGATCATAGTTCTTCATTCCCCTTAGACCTCTGTTGAAGGCTGTAGAATTTGTGAATATGCTGTTATGTGCGGAAGCCTTCATCCCTCACAGCTGTAGAGCTATCCGTTCTCGTCCACACAGCAGACGATGCTTCACATGAACCATCACAAGGCGTTTTCGAAGACATCGATAGTAAATGGCAACACTGCCTTCATCAATGTGGGGTACATCAGAAGTTATCTGTGGAAAGGTTTAAGGAAGATCTCTCATCCATCTATGCCCAAACGTATACCGCACTGGTACGTACAATCAGATATGAAATCAACAAAGTAA